ACACACACACACACACACACAAACGCCCACACGCACACACACACACACCTACACACCCAACAAGTACCTCAACACATGCTGCCACATGGCACAGTGTCCCTGCAAGAAAAGGGACGAAAAACAAGACAACAGTCCTGGCCTTGCAAACCTGCCCAGGGGGATCAAAGGGAGCACAGCTTACCATCAGTGAGCTGAAAAGGGGTGCTGACATGAATCTCAGGCACAAACATTAGTATGCAGAGGGAACAGTCATGGGTGTCTTTATGAGAAGCCAGCTATGCCAAGGCACCGACTCTTCTAAAGGCTCCATTGTCACCTAATAGAGTTGAAACCAAGGATACTGCAAATCTGAGTGTACAGAACCTGAGAGAAAGAGAGCTTTAACACAACGTCTTGCCAAAACCTCCAGCTGCTCGAGAAGTAATAGACAAGCCTGACTCTCCACTCTCGCTTCACTTTCTCTCTGTTTGTCTTTTCCATGCCAGCAATAAAGTACAAATTACCCCCTGCATGCAGATGCTCAAACACAAAAGGCAGAACACAGATGCGCGCACACACACACTTGAACGTTGACTGATCATTTCCTTTGTAGAGCCCTGACACAGCATGTAGCACAGCAAGAGAGCCTGTATGCTCAGTTTCTTGATGTCAAGATTAATACATAGCAAACAGCGGCTATCCCCTTATCTGCATTTTTCTTGTCTTTCTCAGATACACCTTACTGAAAATGTTCTCACTGAAGTTTCTCATAACACTGTACACGAATCCCGTGCTAGAACAAACAGTGTACTGTAAAGCCTACGTCCCACTACTACTGTAACATCCTTTTAGCCATAGTTCATCAGCTAGTTCAGAGAGGTACCATCACCCCCACAATGTTCCAGTGTCCTGCATTATCACACTTGAATGAAGTTGCTGTGTCAGCAGGTATGTTTTTCCCTCCACTGGTCACAACTAAAGTCCAACGGGTCAACGGGACAGGTGAAACATGAGACATGGTGCAAAAATGTTTGTGGACGTGCAGACACGCGGACACACATGGACACACGCGCGCACACACACACACACGTCCCAATAAATGACCATTTCCTGAAGGTGACAAGAAGGACTCTCACTATATGATTTTCTTTCAAAGGTGCCATATCCTTTCTCACATTCTGCCTCCCTCCACCTCCATCTGTTATATACACTTTTGAAAGCAGCTTCCTATGAAATAGAGAAGGCAGGTTCACTTATTTTCTTTTGCTTCTTAGTAGCATAGGTCTCCCCTAAATTAAAAAGAAAGGTTTCAATGAATCCATATAGATGATCTGTGATAAGAAGTTAGACCTCCAACATTGAAGATAAAGAAGCATTTATAGGAAATGACACATTTCAAAACATTCCTGACATTGCAGAAGTATTTCATTGTCTGCTTTTGTTAACATTATTATGTGTCAACATGCTTTTTGTACTTAAAATCAAATCAGTATAATCTGCTACCCTGCCTGATGATACAGTGAGTTTGAAAATCCCTGCTCTTTTGAGCAGTTTTCCTATGGACACAAAGACTTTAGTGTGGGCTATATGAGGAGAGCTTACAGGGGAAGTATGGATATGAGCATGAAACTCACAAAAAGGTTTTAAAAAGTAATCAGAAGGTTTAACAGCACTCAAAGAGATGGAAGAAACCTGGAATATGAGGACCCCCGCAACATTTAAGACCAGTTCAATCAGTGTCAAAGGCACTGGGTAAAGAAATTAAAATGAAAAGAGGAGAGGAGTTATATAAGATATTGGTGCAGGGCCATTCTGCTTCAGGGTGGTTTATTTGCAGAGGACGGTACATTGGTAGAGAAGGAAAACACGTGCCTGAGAGTCTCAGGTGGCAGGAGATGGTGCTCAGACCTGTACAGGCACAAGCCCTCTTTGTCAGGGCCCAGTCCCAGTCCACAGGCCCCCTGACCACCCCTCACCTTGAAACATGACACGGGTACATGCAGGAAGGGTTGTTACTCCAAGGAGGCAAATACGGCCGCATTTGCAGGAAGTCCAGCGGTCAGGTTGGCCTTAATGCATGGCAACGAGTTTGTGTGTGTGTGTGTTTGTGTGAGAAAGGAAGAGAGGGAGACTAATTGAGTGCATAGAGGAAGCATGACTTAGAACTACTATCAACTCAAACGATACGAGAGCACTAAGCTCACTCATCAGATAAAGTTACAGAGAGTTTTGGTTGTGTTGAAAGCTTATATATGTTGTCATTCTGATCATCAGATCATCGCTATTGAATGTCTTGGTGTTTGAGCCAAGAAATTGACAATTATCATGTTCATCGCAGCACATATATATATATATATATATCCCATATACACATATATTTGTGTAATGGGATATCATATCTCAAAATACTTAATATGAGACACTATCACCTAACAAGTAACATTTCAGTGAGATGTATGGATTACTTTTTAGGCAATGCATATCGAATATCTTGTTAAGTGAAGAAATACTTATTGTGGGTATTACTGATCAGCACTTCATAGTATTAGTGAAATTTAGCTCCAAATGACTTTTGGTAATTTAAAGAACACTTTATCTTGAAAGGCTTAAATATTGTATCTTACTTCAAGAAATCTTGCAAAGATAATTTGTACTTGTTCCATCGGCAAATTTCTTTTTTTATTACAAGCAAAAATAACTTGTATTTATTGTTTGTTTTGGCCTTTTTTTCCCAGTGAGATAATAGTGTCTTGATCAACTGTCTTATTGGAGTCAGTAATACATTTGAACCATCCTAAATTGTGTTGTTATTACACTCCTTGCAGAGGTCATACAGTTATGAATTTTAAGGGATGAATTAAATTTATTGGGAAAAACAGTTTCAGAGTCAAATAAAAAAAATGTCCACACAATTTTCATCGAATCTTAATGCTCATAGATGCTACTGGTGAGCATATAGGCAGTATCGTAAATAACTCTCCACAAATCTCATCTTGGGTATCTGGCCGGCCATAAGTAGGCCTACAGTACATGAGTCCTGCTCTTTTAATGATGTGGTTCAAGCAAAAGCTACAGGTTTACGGTTCAAAGACAACGTCTGGACCAGGATGGGATCTAACTGCCACAGGACCCCTCTAGCCAGACACCAATTACTCTCAACACTCAAACATAGAGATACATACACAAGTACACACACAAAAGCTCACAACTCCTCTGGAAGGAGGGGGGCTGGAAGTGGCCCCATCCCCTTTCCTCTTCCCACATACAGTACACATACTAGCTGTTTAGGCAGTCTCTTATTTGCCTTTAAATGCTGGTCAAATTTATAGCTTGATGCTGATTGTTCTTTGGCGCAGTGCCACAGGGACTCTTTGTGAACAACTCCACCACCACTTCCTCAGGGAACAAGCCAGACGAACCCAGACCTGTTAGATTCACTACCAATTTCGCCTCCAGAGATATATTGCTCCGAGCAACAAATCCAATGAAAACCTTACACAGAGAGCACATGAGTGAGAGACAAAGAGAAACGAGGCAGACTTAGAGGGGAAAAGCTCGAGCGATTACTGAACACCCTTTGTGTCAGAGAATAAAGCATTAAGCGTGGCAGCACAGACTCCAGCTGTATCAGCACATCAGAGAAGGAAAAAGGCATTTCTGCTTCTACTTGAAAAAGACTGCTTGTGAAAGGTACACTGATCTTCCAAAACCCTGATGAATAAGGTTCACTTCCCAGCCTGTGAATGTGTGTGAGACAGAGAGTGAGCAAGAGCGCCTGTCTCCTTTGTGTCTGTCAGGAGTCTCAGACTGCCAGACGTAAGCATGTCTGCGCTGGTGTAGCGCACGCTCTCTTGCCGGCATCCACTCAACCGTTCTATAAGCAGCAGCAGAGCACAGCCTCTTTCTTTCACTGTCTTCTCTTTACATGAATGTTCACTCATCATTCTCAACAAGGCTCAAGAAGGGAAAAAACACAGTCTGGTCCTAACAATCTGAAGACAAAGGACTGTTGCCAGCCAGTCAGCCAGGCACAATTTAGACAAAATAAGGTCAAAAGAAAATATATATAAATAAATATGTCCCTAAACAAAGAGCCATCCCCTTGGCGAAGGCACAGTCCCCTCACCTTGAAGTTGTTCCGACCAGGAGGAGGCCAATAATCCAAAGGTGACCCCCAAGACAAGCGTCCACATCCTGGGCAAAGTGTCTGTCGATGGCTGGGTGAGTAGCTGGTAGTAAAGGTGTGTAACAGTTCTCCTGTGGTCCTATCTTCCCTCTGCCAGAAGTGAAGGGTGGTGGTGGTGGTTGTGGTGTGTGTTTTTGTGTGTGAAAGAGAGAGAGAGAGAGAGAGAGAGAGAGAGAGAGAGAGAGAGAGAG